CCACCAGAAGTACGGTATAACACAGATAACGTCACCATTGAACTCCGGATTGAGAATTCACTCTCTGGTCGTCCTGGTGTCAGCTATAGTACTGTACAGCGTCCTCGTGAGGTGAGCCACCCCTGGAAACCAAGCCGTCTGAAGTTTGTTGCCACGTTTGTTGCTGCAGTTCGACATCGTTACGTCCGGTATAGTACATCTGCCTTACACGCACAAACAGCCAGGTTTCAGTTTCCCCTTGCCTTACCTGCATATTTCGACCGCGGTTACGTTTATCGGAACCGTCTAAAATATTTAGGCAATGCAGTAATATTTAATTAGCCGATTTTGTGAAGCTATTTGTGTATTTACTGTCAAACATTTGCTCTTGTATTAAAGTGTGCGTACGCACATTGCAGTTAATTCAAATTTGGTGTCATTTAGTGCTGTGCGTGTATGATGAATGTGTTCGTTCCCTTATTTATAAATTCTCTATGGTTCTTAGATGTCCAATTGTTATTGGCCTGAGATCATTGTCGTCTTGTAACGATAACCATCTTAATGATTTCCAATGCCTTTATGGCCCGTGAAAAGAACCCACAACAAGTGTGATCTATATAGTTTAAGTTATACGAATCACTGTTTGGCATTCCCATTCGCTTTATATGAATTATTTCAGATTTAATACAAATATATATATAGACCTCTTGACAACGTCATCTAACAGGAACGCCGTCGCTGATTGGCTCCTGAGTGAGATGACTATCTTGCTTTCAAAAATCCTACAAATTAGGTTTTTGTATGCAAGAGATTTTTCCACACAAAAACAATTAATTCGGTCAACTTTGTTAGCAGTTGGCCTAAAGTGAAAGTTTAGCATTATTCCTTTGAATTGTAGGAAACTGAAAAAAACATATCTCAACTTTTCTTTTTTCAGTTTCAAGCCGCATTTAAGACTGCCTCCATATAAAATAAATATCTGTAATTAAATGGCATTTATTTGATTATCACTTGTACGCCCCAGCTGACTGTACTAATAGAACAAATATGGTATACAACTTTATACAGTTAAAAGCAGGAGGGTGGTCACCTGGGCACACACGGGAATTGAGTCCCTAGTCCCAAGACTCATGGGTAGACGCTTATTTGTAAACAGTGACACGCTATGGCCATCTGACGCATGTGCAGGTGACGACTCTCTCACTTTAAAGGTGAAAGAACAAAAACAAGCCTGCAGTGTAACTCACCCTCACAGCTGTTTCCAGTAAGTTCGTTAAACCCCTTCAACCTGATGATAAATACAGAGTGGCTGCGAGACGACCTCTCGTTACATTTAGTGGCTGCTACTGCTCGGTTTTGTGCTGCTGTCTGTAGCAGGTCGTTAATCTGTAATGATACGTGCATATTAAATATAGTTGCACGAGAGTTAAAGTTCCAATAGTTATCAGTGTTCTCCCCAGGCCTTTCAAGCACTGCGGGCCCGCGTCGCTTAGACAAACAGCCGCGTCGCTTTTGTTTCGCCCGTGATCCTTGAAATCCTGTCCGCGATGCTTATTCACGTTATAATGTTTACAAGTGTCAGCCTGTCTAGCACATCTTTAAAACAACAACATGTATTGATCGAAAGGTAATCCTGCCTTTGTACATAGTTAGCCTTACAAAAACAGTGATAAAAACGGAAGCCTACAAGAAGTTACCAAGTCTATCAAGGGTGCGGAGCTGGCAAACCCAAAATACTAGGGTAGTAATCATTTGCCTATTGCGTCGGGATGGTCTATCTCAAGTTGCTGCACTGCGATTAATTGCGTTTTTACTACTTCATCGCCAGTGACACTAATTACCAAAAATTAAAAAAACAAGTGAAATTAAGTCGCATGGAAAAAAAAACAAACTGTAAATAAT